GCAACATCAATTTCTTGACGACCTAATACTATGTTCTTGAATGTTTATTTGTTATACTTAATGTTTATTTGTTATACTTTTCAAACTGTTTACTGACAAAAATCCTGATTTGTTCATATCAGTAAAATAGGATGTTTTCTATAAAAGTTTCGTGTAAAAAATATCTAACTTTCCAGTATAACAAATTGTGTTCCATAGATTTCTCTCCTCCAGGGCATCATATGAAGCTGACAAATCACCGATTTTTCTCAAAAAAGGCTTAAGTTTAAATCAGAATTTAATGTATTACAAATTTATTGTCTTCAGTACATAAGAACTGATTGCGTTATCGGTTAGAGAGATGTATAAACTAATTCAATAAAATGATATATAGAAGTACTATATCATACATGTCATAACAACGATAAGTATAATGTTTATGATATGGGGTGGCTCGTGACAAATGTTCTAAGTAATTTGATCACGATTTCGGTGACAAATATTGTGGTATTGCGTTGGCTCGTGACAAATATTGTGATATTGTGTTGACTCGTGACAAATATTGTGGTATTGTGTTGACTCGTGACAAATATTGTGGTATTGTGTTTTGATTGTGTTGGCTGGTGACAAACGTGGTGTTTGTTGTGTTCTTAGTTTGGGCTAATATGTCGTGCTCACGATATGTGACAAGCACAGTGTATTCATGATTTCGGTTGACATGTTCTTAGTTTCGGTTGGATCGTGACAAGCACAGTGTGTTCATGATTTCGGTTGACTTGTTCTTAGTTTGGGATGGTTCGTGACAAGCACAGTGTGTTCATGATTTCGGTTGACTTGTTCTTAGTTTGGGATGGTTCGTGATAACCACAGTGTGTTCATGATTTCGGTTGACTTGTTCTTAGTTTGGGATGGTTCGTGACAAGCACAGTGTGTTCATGATTTCGGTTGACTTGTTCTTAGTTTGGGATGGTTCGTGACAAACACGGTGTGTTCATGATTTCGGTTGACTTGTTCTTAGTTTGGAATGGTTCGTGACAAACACGGTGTTCATGATTTCGGTTGACTTGTTCTTAGTTTGGGGTGGTTCGTGACAAGCACAGTGTGTTCATGATTTTGGTTGACTTGTTCTTAGTTTGGGGTGGTTTGTGACAAGCACAGTGTGTTCATGATTTCGGTTGATTCATATTTCCAGTTTGTAAGGGATTGTTGATTTTGAGACCATCTCATCACTTCTGTATCTAGTTGATACACTGTTTAACTGAATATTATGAAATTTGCAAATTGAAAGTTTTGGCGCGAAAGGAAACCGCTAAACTAACTCTTCAAACAGTACTTACTTGTACTGGAACATTTGGAAAACAAATTAAAATTGCTAACCCTAAAAAGAAAAAAGTTCAATATATAGCGCAGGATGATGCCGAATTCTTTTTAAATGTTTATTTCTCACACTTTCACTAAATTCGATCTTAAATCAATTTATATATTGATATCATCAATGTAATCAATCGTATCACGTGGTGTGTTGTTCGAATCTCTATTTAAAATAACAACTGTTGAGAGAAAAAAAAAAGAACACACGAATAAGTTCTAGAAATTCAATTTAAACGAGAGCCTAAAATAGAGAAACAGCTGGCATTCCTGGTTCATGACCACGCATGGTTAAACAGAAAGAGAGTTAATTAACTGTGCATATTTTTTTTTAAAACAAATGCTATAAAAGAAAAGCTTACTGAATTATGTCCATGATTCTTATAAGCTGTTTCTCTAACTTACGAACGCTAACACTGAGTTCTTTCAGGTTTCTAAAAATCAGAGAGAAAATGGTTAGATGTCAAGCGGAAATAAGAGTGAAAATAGTTAGATGTCCAACGGAAATAAGAGTGGAAATAGTTAGATGTCAAGCGGAAATAAGAGTGGAAATAGTTAGATGTCAAGCGGAAATAAGAGTGGAAATAGTTAGATGTCAAGCGGAAATAAGAGTGGAGATAGTTAGATATCAAGCGAAAATCAGAGTGAAAATGGTTGGATATCAAGCGGAAATCAGAGTGAAAATTGTTAGATGTCAAGCGGAAATAAGAGTGAAAACGGTTAAATATCAAGCGAAAATCAGAGTGAAAATAGTTAGATGTCAAGCGGAAATAAGAGTGGAAATAGTTAGATGTCAAGCGAAAATCAGAGTGAAAATGGTTAGATATCAAGCGGAAATCAGAGTGAAAATGGTTAGATATCAAGCGGAAATCAGAGTGAAGATGATTAGATGTCAGAAATCAGAGTGAAGATGATTAGATGTCAGAAATCAGAGTGAAAATGATTAGATATCAAGCGGAAATCAGAGTGAAAATGATTAGATATCAAGCGGAAATCAGAGTGAAAATGATTAGATATCAAGCAGAAATCAGAGTGAAAACGATTAGATGTCAGAAATCAGAGTGAAGATGATTAGATGTCAGAAATCAGAGTGAAAACGATTAGATGTCAGAAATCAGAGTGAAAACGATTAGATGTCAGAAATCAGATCTTCACTCTGATTTCTGACATCTAATCATCTTCACTGATTAGATGTCTTGCTTTTTATTTAAAGCAAGGCCACATTGGATTATCTGCTGTGTCCACCGCAGGGAATCGAGACCCGGATTTTAGCGTTCTAAAACCATTCACTTACTGCTGTCCTCCCACTGGGGGCCAATTAGCATAACTTAAACCAATTTATTTTGCCAAATATTTGCTTTTAACACAAATTTTATATAATAACACCAGATTCCGTATGATAGGAATATTTTTGAAAAAAATACTTTTCATATTCACCCGTTAATTATAAAGAAAAATTAATTACATGACCTTATAGAACAATTAATTACATGACCTTATAGAAAAATTAATTACATGACCTTATAGAACAATTAATTACATGACCTTATTCAACAATTAATTACATGACCTTATACAACAATTAATAACATGATCTTATACAACAACTAATTACATGACCTTGTAGAACAATTAATTACATGACCTTGTAGAACAATTAATTACATGACCTTATTCAACAATTAATTACATGACCTTATAGAACAATTAATTACATGACCTTATAGAAAAATTAATTACATGATCTTATACAACAATTAATTACATGACCTTATATAACAATTAATTACACGACCTCATACAACAATTAATTACATGACCTTATAGAAAAATTAATTACATGACCTTATAGAAAACTTAATTACATGACCTTAGAGAACAGTTAATTACATGACCTTATAGAACAATTAATTACATGACCTTATTCAACAATTAATTACATGACCTTATACAACAATTAATTACATGATATTATACAACAATTAATTACGTGACTTTATAGAACAATTAATTACATGACCTTATAGAACAATTAATTACATGACCTTATTCAACAATTAATTGCATGACCTTATACAACAATTAATTACATGACCTTATACAACAATTAATTACACGACCTTATACAACAATTAATTACATGATCTTATACAACAATTAATTACATGACCTTTACTTTTTTTAACTGATAAGGTTTAACGTAAGTTATATGTATTTCCGTAGATACAACTATGTCAACTTTCACCGTCATCAGTTTGAACCACCTTTTCCTGCCATTGGCTTTCCATTGTTTTCTTCGTCTTTAGAACTATCTAGAAACGTGGCCTACGTCTAGCATTTCTGATTCATAAGGTCTTTCTCCGTCTTAAAACAAAACAAAGAACTCAAAGTTCCTAAACGTTCAAACATAATATATAACATTTGTAACGGTACCTATCTGTATGGAACTTCCTACAGCTACGGACAAAATAAACTGGAGAAGTGTACAGACGCGTTTCTGTGCAATTAGTAAAACACCGGAGGCTTTCGACAAGGAATGATTGATGAAAAAAAAAGATAATTTTTAGATATTTATCCTTCAGGGTTACAAGAAAATTTAGCCTGCGTAGTAAATGATTTTTATCTATTCTCTATCACTAGAAACTTGTAATTCTGTTGGGGTGAAAAGGTCCTCGCTGTTGAATCAGGTATGACGAAAAAATAAAACAGGGATTTAAGGTTAGGTTGAATCAGGTATGACGAAAAAATAAAACAGGGATTTAAGGTTAGGCTGAATCAGGTATGACGAAAAAATAAAACAAGGATTTAAGGTTAGGCTGAATCAGGTATGACGAAAAAATAAAACGGATTTAAGATTAGGTTGAATCAGGTATTACGAAGAAATAAAACAGGGATTTAAGATTAGGTTGAATCAGGTAATACGAAGAAATAAAACAGGGATTTAAGGTTAGGCTGAATCAGGTATGACGAAAAAATAAAACAGGGATTTAAGGTTAGGTTGAATCAGGTATGATGAAGAAATAAATCAGGGATTTAAGATTAGGTTGAATCAAGTATAACAAAGAAATAAAACAGGGATTTAAGATTAGGTTGAATCAGGTATGACGAGGAAACAAGACAGAGATTTAAGATTAGGTTGAATCAGTTATAACGAGGAAATAAAACAGGGATTTAAGATTAGGTTGAATCAGGTATGACGAGGAAACAAGACAGAGATTTAAGATTAGGTTGAATCAGTTATAACGAGGAAATAAAACAGGGATTTAAGATTAGGTTCAAATTTTCCAACCAAATCTTCGTCCTCATCCTTAGAGTATTCTCAATAAGAAAGTGTTTAAAGTTACTTGTCGTTTCCTGTATTTCTGTCTAAAAATATTAAACAGGTTATCAGGATTTATATGAACTATTTAGTTTTCATTTTAATTCACCTTAACTCTGTGTCTATACATATATATAAGAAACCGAGATTTTTTTCCCACCTTTCCGTTACCCAGGTTTCAATAATCTTCCAAAAGAAATCAACAAGATAAATAAAACGTTCGAACGAGATATTGAACTGTGAAACGGCAGATTTGTCAGGAATATCAGAGTTTTTTCCAATAACGTTTAGTAATCTGGTTAAGGTACTTTCTCTCTGTTCCTTTACACTCTAGATACGGAAGAAGAAAACCGTTCTTCGCCTTTCTAGGCGCCCAGTGTGTGGTTGGCATGGTAACAGCTTTCGCGCCAGATTTTTCATCCTTTACAATTCTTCGTTTCTTCATGGGAATGACGGTGCCTGGGGTTCTGGCTTCACCCTCGGCCTTAGGTAAGCATTAAAGCGCGTGAAGATCGTATTGTTGGAGAGGATAAGGATAAATTACCATTAACTAGACACTTTTATGTACAAACACCCGGAGGCTCTACCGTCAGATCAAAGAAATTGTGACATTACGAAATCATCCCAAAGAACTACCAGGTTTTGTATATGGAGGAGGTGACAATATGTTTCATAAGTTTTGTTTGTGATATGACGTAATGCTAGTTAGAAATACCAACAATATGTTTCATAAGTTTTGTTTGTGGTATGACGTAATGCTAGTTAGAAATACCAACAATATGTTTCATAAGTTTTGTCTGTGATATGACGTAATGCTACAGTTTTGGTCAAAATGTTTCCATACTGTTCTATATTAATGTTATCGTCTACATTCATGGAGTAGTTATTGAGTAAATGCCTGAGTAGTAACAGAGAAGACAGTGTGTGATCGGACAAACAGGTATAAGTTGTTTTGAGTATTGGTTCGTTAAAACACACATAGCCACCTGTTTTGTATAAAAGTGTGTGGTATAAACAGATCAACGCTTTCTCTATATTTGATGCACAGTCATCTCTCGTCACGTGCCAGAAGTTATAGGGCGTCAAATAGTATGAAATGTCCAGAAATGGTATGAATCAAACGGACATTGCCAGAATAGTAGGGTGCCCCCCCCCAGTGTACTGTTTTCTAAATCCTGAAACGTCACCGGACTACAGGAAACGTTGTTCCAGGAAAGTCTATTGGTAGACGCCAAAAAACTACTGCCCCGAGATGACCGTGTTTGGATCAGGTTAACACGTCGAGGCTGAAAGAAGGCAACATCTTACGACAGGAATGGTATGGACACATTCAGCCTAGGGTATCCAGAAGAACAATGAATAGGAGACTGACGAAACAAAGTTATTTTGCCAGAAGGGCTGTCTGTAAAACGGTATTAAACAGAATCCACCGTCGTCACGGTGTTACTTGGGCAAGACAGCATGCCAACTTACAGTTAGGGCACTGGCAACATGTCATGTTTTCAGATGAGTCCTGTTTCCGGCTTGTTAAAGCTGATGGTAGGATTCGTGTTCGTCGTTTGCCTGGAGAACACATGGGGGAACTGTCTTTCCTACATGTAACACACACAGGAGGTGGTGTAGTACATGTTTGGGCAGCTATTCATCATGGTGTAAAAACTGCTCTTCATATCCTCCAGGGAAAAGTGAATGGTGTCTCCTACAGGCATAATATGAAGATGATATTTTTGCCTTATGCTAAGGCAAGGTTTATCAATAACTTTGTGTTCCAGAATAACAATGCCACTGCGCACAGTGCACTTTACGAGATTGCCATGGTCAGCAAAGTCTCCAGATTGTAATACCATTGAGAACTAATGGGCAGAACTGAGCCGGAAAATTACTAACCACGACCATAAACCAGCTACTATAGCTAAGTTGCAGCGTCTTCTAGTGACAAGTTGGGATGAAATCACGGTGGATTACATCAATAACCTCATCAACAGCATGCCACTTCGCCTTGCATAGGTTATTAGAGTACGAGGAGGATCAACCAAGTACTGAATGTTTAATATGAACTGATATAAGGTTATCGACGCTTTTTATAATAATTTGAGGTTATATTTTGTTATTATAGGTGTTTTGGCAAGGTTTGGTTATGATAGATGAAACACTGAATAATACATTTTTCTACAGGTGTCTATTGTTGGCTGTTCTAATAAGTCGTTCTTGATGTCCATAGAATTTGTCTCATTTTACAAATTACATATGTAGATAGGCCCGGCATGGCCACGTGGTTAGGGCACTCCACTCGCAATCTGAGGGTCGCGGGTTCGAATCCTC